AAGGCCTGTGGCACCCAGGGATCAGGACTGGTGGGCACTCGGGTCTATGGACACAAGGGGCATGGCCCCAGCTCATTCCCAGCCCCCTTCCTGGAGGCCTCCCTGCACACAGCTGGGGGACTGCACCCATGTCCGCACACGTGCCAGCTGTCCCTGCAGCAGGGCGCTCAGCGCCGGGGAGCGTCCAGCGTCTCTCCCGGCTGCAGCCCAGCCAAGAGGCACCAAACAAACCAGGGCAGGTTCAGCCCTCGCCTCATTGCTCTCCCTGCTGCTCAAGTTCTGGCTGCACTACGCCCTGCACCTTTTGATTTATGCACACCCCATCCGTCGCCCCACCAAGGCCCGGGACCTCCTGGTCAACCTCCTCCTGGCTCTGGCCAAGCTCGTCATCTGGCTATCCAGGCAGGAGGCTCTGGCCGGGAAGGCTCCCGGAGACCTCGGGGCATTTTTCCTTGGTGTGCCCCGCGCACGGCTCCGGGCGGAGCACCACTGGGCAGCAGCCGCCGGCGAGCTCCCTCAGTTTGTGAGCCGGCGGGCGCTGTCTGGGGTGCTCTGCTCGGTGTCCCCTGGGGGAGCACTCGTTTTGGCCCTATGACCTTCACGTGCACACCCTGTTTTCTCTTTTGTTGTCCCACGTAATTAGTTGATGATCCTCTGGCGCCCAGCCGCCCCAACGTAAGTGGCGGCCCCTGATTTTTTTTTCTTCAGTGGACGACTGACAATACCTGTCCGGAGCAGCGCAGTAGCACCGGACGCTGTTTTTGACCGCCGGCCGTCTGACCCTCGACGGCCCTAAGATCTGAAGCGGTTCCCGCTGCGACCAGGACACCAAATAGTCCCTGGTCCGACCGGCACAGAGCAGCCCAAAGACGCGCCCAGGCCCCTCCTGCACTTAGCTCTGCCCATTGCACGCACCCTCTCCCAGTGCAGCGTCCGCACCCGTGAGCCTGACCCTGCCATTGCCTTGTTCTCCCTCAGCTGCCCCCACTGCAGACACCTCTGCCCAGGGTCCACCCCTGCCCACAGATGCCACCCTCAGACTATGCCCAGCCCACCCAGAGCAGACCCTGCCCCCAGATGCCCACCTACAAGCCATCACTGCCTTCCCCTTTCATGCTGGGGGTCCTGCAGCACCACTCCTGCCCTCATGTGGGGCAGCCCCACCGCTCCTGCCCTTCTGCAGCAGGGCCTGCAGCCTCTGCAAGGTCTTTGGGTTTCTTAGAGGGTTTCATGCCCGTGCTGCAGGCACTGCAGGCTGGCAGGGCGGACACGGGAGAGAGATGCTGAGTCCTGAGAGGGAAGTTGCAGGGGTCACTGGAGCCCCTCCCCCCCGCCAGTTCCTGCTGGGCATTGTGTCCGGTTGGGGACTTGGACGTGTCTGCCAAGCCGGTGCACAGTCTGCTGTGTGTTTCCGGGCCGTGCCTGCATGGCTATCGTCCCCGCTGTGACATCACAGACTACCCCTGTGCACATGTGCCCAGACACCCTGAATGGCAGGGGTTCCCAAACTTTATGCTGAGGACCAGCAAACCGCAGACCAGCAGTGACTGGCATAATGCAGGTCGGCTGGCGGTCTGCAGTATGCCGGTCACTTCCAGTCCGCAGTTTGCCAGTCTGCCAGCCTGGGGTCACTTCTGGCCCGGCAGCCAACCATCCTGTGGGCAGGCAACCAGCCCTCTGCAGTCTGGCACCGGGCAGCAGCCTGCGGGCTGGGCACCCCTGCTGCATGGGGCTAGAAACTGACACCTGGATACAGGATGTAGCAGACCAGGAGGGGGTGCCCCGACTCTGAGCCACCCACCTCACTGCGCCCACCCACCTACCCAGCTCCAAGTGCCCCCCCCCGGCACCTCGCGTCTGGCCGACCCCCTTCCTGGAGCACACCCACAAGCCTGGGGCGACCGCCGCCACCACCCAGGGTCTGGACGTTGTCCCTCGGGGTACACAGGCCTGGTAGGCCTTGAGGGTGCTTGACCCACTGCGAGAACTTGGGGTGCTTCTTTTAGCCTGAAGCACAAAAAGTAGCTTCCCTTAGTCTGCTGACCCAAGGGAATAAAAAGGTGTGCCCAAACCCTTTCATGCATGTACCACAAAGCTTTATTGGTTAAAGAGGGTAAGGTTTGGGGAAGGGTACAGGTTAGAGAAATATCACAGAATAACCCAGAGCAAACTGTGCCAACATAGTAGCTGTTTGAAAACACTTCTATATTACAGTAAGCTAGATATCTAGATAAGTTTCTAGCAGCTTACTCACTTTAGCATCCTGGGAGAGAGAGAGGGTTTTTTAAAATTTAATTAATTAATTAACTTATTTATAATTTGTATCCAAGGCCACATTAGCCAAAACTAATTCCAAATCCAATAGTCCAGAACCATAAGTGGCCCTACTACTGGCAAACACCCCCCACCTGCACCTGGGGCTTCAGATGTTTCCAAAACCTTTGGCTGGCAGCCTTTAGCGTCCACACCTGAGGACGGGCTAGTGATCCAGGCTGACTTGGATAAGCTTAGTAAGTGGGCAGATACAACCTGATGACATTCAGTACTGAAAAATGCAAGGTACTCCACTTCAGGGAAAAAAACTGCAGCAGGCTATGCTCGCTAGCACCGTGGCTGAAACAGACTTGGGGGTCATGACTGACCACAAGATGAACGTGAGCCACCAATGCCATGTCGCAGCTGGTAAAGCAAACAAAACTCTGGCTTGCATCCATAGATGCTTCTCAAGTAAATCCCAGGATGTCATCGTCCCGTTGTACTCAGCCTTGGTGAGGCCCCAGCTGGAGTACTGCATCCAATTCTGGGCTCCACAATTCAAGAAGGACGTGGAGAAGTTTGAGAAAGTCCAGAGGAGCCACGCACATGATCAGAGGGCAGGAGAGCAGACCTTATGATGAGAGGCTGAGAGCCACGGGACTCTTCAGCCTGGAAAAGTGCAGGCTCAGAGGGGACCTGGTGGCTGCTTATAAGTACACCAGGGTCTGGGGGAACGCCTGCTCACCAGAGCGCCCCAAGGGATAACAAGGACCAATGGTCGTAAACTCCTCCAAGACCGTTTTAGGCTGGACATAAGGAAAAATTTCTTTGCTGTCCAAAAGGGAAAAAAAAGGATCCAGAAAACTGCAGACCAGTCAGCCTCACCTCAGTCTCTGGAAAAATCATGGAGCAGATCCTCAAGGGTAACGGCCTCCTGGGCTGCATCGGTAGGAGCATTGGCAGCAGGTCGAGGGCAGTGATCCTTCCCCTCTGTTCAGCACAGGCGAGGCCACATCTGGAGTCCTGGCTCCAGTTTTGTGCCCTCCACAGAAGAAAGGATGTGAACACATTGTCGAGATTGCAGCGGAGGGCAATGAAAATGGTTGCAGGGCTGGGGGCAGGACTTGTGCGGAGAAGCTAAGGGAACTGGGCTTGTTTGGTCTGCAGAAGAGAAAACCAAGGAGGGATTCGATAGCAGCCTTCAACTCCCTGAAGGGGGATCAAAAGAGGATGGAGCTGGGCTGATCTCAGTGGGGACAGACGACAGGACAAGGAGCAATGGGCTCAAGCTGCAGCAAGGGAAGATGAGGCTGGATATTAGGAAAAACTCTCTCACGAGGAGGGTGGTGAAGCATGGCAACAAGTTACCCAGAGAGGTGGTGGCATCTCCATCCTTGGAGGTTTTGAAAACCCAGGTAGACAAAGCCTTGTCTGGGATGATGCAGTTGGGGCTGGTCCTGCTTGGAGCAGGGGGTTGGACTAGATGTGACCTCCTGAGCTCCCTGCCAGCCCTCACTTTCTATGATTTCTAAGAAAGGAGACAGATTTCCCCCCTCCCTTCCTGTGGGTTTCTGAGCTGGGCACGGGGCTCCTGGCCCTGGTTCCTGCCTCTGGCTATTTTTCAGCTTGGGCCCACCACGGCAGGCTTCAGCCTCTCCGTGCCTCTCCAGCATGACTGGCCCCCCCAAGCTTCCCCTGCTAGTCCCTTTCTGGTCCTACAAAGAGAAAACAAACCGAAAACCCGGCTCCTGCATTAATGCCACACATGCACACCTCGGGGTGCAGAAGGAAAAAAAGGTACACGTCTTTAACTCCTACAACCCCGTGTCGAGTCCTACAGCTGGTTTCCTAGGGCAGATGAAGCCCACCCCAGTAACCCACCCCTGGGTCCTCACTGCACTGCCCCTTGCTCCCGGGCTTCCTAGCCCGCTGTCTCTCCCCCTCCTTGTGGGAGGCCTCAGTTCCTCCCAGGACTTTGCCCCACCACTGTGCACCCTCGCTGTCCTTTCCCTTTCTCTGCTGCCTCCCCAAGCAAGCCCTTACCTGGCTCTGCCCATTGGCACTCCTGGCCTCCAGCGCTCAGCAGCTCCTTCCTCCCCCTGCCTCCTGCTCTCTGGCTACCATTTCTTACCTCGCCACCTGTCCAGGGCTGCTTCAGTGAGTCTCATCCTGGTTTGTACTGGGAGCCCCCATGTCCCTGTTGCAATCCCACGTGCGGGGCTGGCTGCGCGAGGGAGAATGCACCGACTGCGGCACGTGTACCGCAGCGGGGCCAGGAAAGGGATCGTGCCCACGGGAGGCCAAGAGCCAGGGCCCGGCCCAGGCAGGGGAACAGCCGCGGTGTGACCGGAGCGGCAAGGGAAGGGTGCTGACAACAGGCGGAGCGCGGGGAAGCTCGGGCAGGGAATGAGCTGCGGCTGTGTCCATAGTGTTTTTGGTCCGGAGAGACAGGTTCTCGATCCCGTCCCCCAGGCAGGGCATCAGTTGGACCCGGTTCCCCAGTCCTACCAAGCCCCGGACTTCGTGTCTGTGGGTCCACAGACCTCTTATCGAAAGCAACTGGTTCTTGGATCCTGGGGAGCTTGTTCTGCTAACGCATAGCACTCACTGCTGCAAATGTGTCTGACATCTGGGGTGAATTTACAAGCGACTCCAACCCCGTGTGAAATGGGCACGCCGCCACCTGGAGAGTGAGCAGCGGAGTGTGAGCAGCACGGGGACTCACAGGCACACAAGCAGGCAGGTTTTTCAGTGGAAAAGGTTTATTTGGCCCCCAGGGCCGAGTGGTCACACAGGTGGATGCCCGGCTGGGCTGTGGGCTGAAAGCACCGGAGGTGGGCAGAGCCTGGTGGCACCAATCGCTGTCTCCACGTGGAGTGAGAGTGGGAGCGGGCGGGGCAGGGCAGGGGAGGGGAGGGGAGGGGTGCGTGGAGCCGGGTCCAACTGATGCCCTGCCATAGGCATGAAGTGAGGAGGCACAGTTGGAGCCCGCAAGATGCTCCCACTCCTTACGGCTAAACCCGGGTGAAGAGGTTGGTGCCGACCCTGTGGGGAAGGAAAGGCACAGAGTTGCTGCAATTTCCCGTGGGGGCCACATGCCAGCCCTGCCAGCTCCCAGCATGGCCGCGGGCCAGCTGCCCAGCCCTGCCCCTGCCCGTATCCGACCTGCTGCAGGTGCCCACGTGCCGTGGCTCAGCAGGCCCGGGAGCCTGGGAGCCCAGGTGCCAGCACTAGGCCTGTGCCGTGGGGCAGGCGGGACACCTGCGGCTGCATAGGGAGCAGCTGCTGGTGCCAGGATTGCAGCAGAAGGAAGCTGCACCATGGAGGGGCTGCCCCGGCGAGGGGTAGCTCCCCTGCCTCATGCAGGGCCCGGCGGAGCAGACACGGTGCTGCTGAAGCAATGCCGAGCGCAGCAGCTTGGCCCCGGCAGTGGATCCTGGGCCGTGTGGGGGCTGCTCCTGGCTCTGGCTGCGAGAGTTGTGAGGGGCCACGGCCCAGGGGCTCTGCCAGGCTCCTTCCCCATCCCCTCCTTGTGCTCCTGCCCACACAGCTCAGAGCAGGGGCAGGGGCAGGAGCAGGAGGGGACCACGGCAGCACCACGTTCGTCTGCTCTGACCGGGGGCCCTTCCCAACCCTCCCTTTCCCCCAAGCCATGGTTCCCGGGATGCTCACAGAGTCGCTTTCCAGTTGTCCTGGCTGGAGTCGGCCTTCTTCCGCAGCAGCCACATGGTCTGCAGAGTCTCCTTCCCTTTGTCGTCCACGAAGCACTGGCCCACGAAGACGGTGGTCGAGTCTGTGGGCAGGCAGAGGGGTTGGAACGAGAGCCGATGCTGCCGCAGCCAAGACCGCAGCGTCCCAGGACTCGGAAGGAGACCATCCAGGCAGGGAGGAGGGGGTTCCTGGGGTCCAGCAGGGCATGTGTGGCCGCAGCTGCTCGGGATGCCACGAGCACCACGCACCAGGGTGGGTGCGAGTGGGAGGGCAGGGAAGGGGCTGTGGGGTGGTGGAGCAGTGGGACATGGACCCCTGGAGCTGGGTGAGCTGGCAGCAGGGCTGATCTGCCAAGGTGCCCATGACAGCAGGGACTGGACTGGACTGGACTGGACCAGAGACTGCAGGGTCCTGCCAGCCTGGCCTCCATGGCACAGCACCAAGAGCCGGGCAGCGGCAGGGGCGGGGAGGACAGGGCCCCGGGGACGGTGGGGGGGACTGCTGGGTGCGCCTCTGGGGCTAGTGCCAGGCATGGGGTGGCTACGACAGGCTGTTGGGACGGGGAAGAGGAGCCTAAAGAGGCGACCTGGGGGCAGGGGGAGCGGAGGCAGGAGCTGGGTGCTGCCCAGGGCGAGCGGAAGGACCCCAGCCTTTGCACTGGCACGGGCTGCCCCGGCCTCCCCACCCCACCCCACCGCACCGCACACAGAGCCACGTACCAGAGAACGACCAGGTGACGGTGAACCCGAACGTCGGGTGCTCCTGGTCTCCCATCTGCTGGCTGCCCCTCAGGGGGGACTCACTGATCGGCTTGTCTGAGCTGGTGACTTTGGTGAGGTACGTGCCGAAGATTTTCCCAACGTTGTTTACAGCCGTGATGTTCATTTCCGAGCCCAGGTCGTTCTGCCACCGCCCGATCAGGGAGCACTGCGGAGGAGGGCTGTGGTCAGCAGAGGGTCCGGCCCCTGAGCGAGGGCATCGCCCCAGAGCCCCCAGCCCTGGGGACCAACCCAGAAACCAGGAGACAGAGGACGGGGGTCCTGAGCCATGCAGAGAAGCGCCTTCTGGCTGTACTCTGTTCCCTGGATCTGTCCCATTTCATACAGCCCAAAATCTGTGCAGTTGCCTCCAGGGACATGGAGCTGCTGAGGAGGCCAAAGGCCAGGCGAAGGACTAGGGGCATTGCTCTGATGGAGCCTCTGCCCGGCTGGTGCTGAGCCTGAGGCAGCTCACAATGGGTAGGGAAGGGTGTGGGTGGCTGGAGAACCTCCCAGTGCACTGGTTTGTGCAGCGCATCCATTTGCAGACCCAGGTCTGGCACATCCCACATCCCATTAGGCCTCTTGCATGGTCAGCCCATTGCCAGACTTGTTGCATGGCCCCACACGCTGCTGAAACACTTTAGGCTTGTGCCCAAGATGTCTGTAGTGCCCTGATCTCATCTGTGGTGCCCCAGCCTCACCACGGTCACAGCCATGGGGCATCCTAACCTACCTGTTGGGAGTCCTTCACGCTGAGGTCACACACCCGAGCCATCGCTGCTCCTGCCCATCGGGGAGATGTTGTCCCTGCCTGGGCAGCCAGCAGCTCAGCCCGGGACTCTGGGGCACAGGTCCTGTGGTACCCTAGAGCAGAGCCCCTGCAGGGGGGCAGGTCCCAGCCCCTTCCCCTCCCCAATCACAGCCCTGCCAGGATCCACCACCCCTGCTCTGGGCTCCAACCCCTAGGATCCCCTGATGGTGCATGCTGGAGCAGGCTGAGATGGTGCAGAGGAAGCATGAAACTCCTGCTGCCACCAGCGCTGCACCTGCCTGGTGCGTACCTTGTCATTTAAAGGGATGCTGAGGGTCCCCATGGCCAGGGCCAGGGCCAGGACCAGGATGAAGCCAATGCTCTGCATCACTGCTGGGAGCTGGAGCTGCTTGTGGGTTTGGTGAGTCTGCAGGCAGGGACCTATGCCTGGGCTCCCTGCAAGACACCTTTTATGCCCCTGCCAAGCAGGTGTGGCTGGGATCTGTGACATGGGCAGTTCCCCTTACTGGAAGTCCATGGAGGGGTCACTCACAGTTACTGTCACTTTCTTTATCACTGCCCTTGCTATTATCTTGCTTCTCAGAAACAGCTGCCAGGCGCCAAACAGCAAAAGGGAAAGTAAAAGGGACCTGTGGGCAAGTCCAAGATGTCCACATAGGGAGAGATCCCCAGCCAGGGACAAACTCTGTAACTTGTGCCCCACTTGCAACAGGACCCCTGGGCCCAGCAGAGCATGGCAGGCAGGGCACAGTCACGCTGTGGGTCAGAAAAGAGACATAAGACAGGTTGTCTTTTATTACTCCCCCTGAATGACAACACGTGCACGTATCTCAGCGCCTGCCAGGCCCCCAGCAGCACAGAGCAGCTCCTCCCCGGTGCGGGCTGGGGAGATGCAGGAGAGAGGGGGCAGCGCCTCTCGGCAGCCCGCTCCCAGCGCTGCCCCGGCTTCTCCCCACATGTACACGGGGCTTCCTTTGGTCATCCGGGAACGATCTCTGCCAGGTCTGCACAGGACTCTTTCTTCTCTCCTTCCCTTGCCAGCCTGCGTCTTTCACCTTGATTTATGGTCCTCACAGTCAAGGCTGCTCGTTAACAACTTACATACAAGCCTGTGGGCAGACGTCTCTGTTCCAGCACAACCACAGCCCAGGCACTTAGTGGCACCACTCAGTGCTCCTAGCATCTTCAAGCTAAAGATTGGACAAATGCACTGCCCAAGCCCACAGTGCGAGGTAGCGCTGGTGCTCGCCATGCTGAATGCACACCTGGCAGCCAGGCATGGAGCCAGCACAGAGCCCAGGCTGATGGGATGGCGTGGGAGGGGGTCTGCACCCCTAGGACAAATGCAGGCCGAGTGTGCATGGGAGGAAGAGCCCTGGGGCTGGGTCGCATGCACGTGGAACTGTGGGGACAGGGGGCAGGGGCTGCGGTGCTGGGGTCCTGCTTTTTTGCTCACTTGATGCGGGTGAAAACATTGGAGCCGGTCCTGTGGGGAAGCCCAGTGTCAGTGGGAGTGGATGCAGGCAGCATCAGCCATTGCAGGACCGTAGCCCCCAGGGAGGCCTGGGTTCCCAGCCCCTGCTGCCTGGCACTGAGGACCGCTGCCTGGGGAAGCTCCTCGCCGACGGCCTGCCTCCCAGGGCGCCAGCAGCCCAGCCCAGGGCCATGCACCACGGGGGCAGCGCCCACCACACCACAGCCCCAGACCAGGGCAGAGGGCTGGAGCCCGTGCCCCAGGGGCAGGCGACGGGGAAGGGGAGAGGGTCTCCTGCAAGGGCAGCCAGTGGCTGAGTGCAGGGGAGAGGGCGGGGGGTTGACGGTGAAGCCGAAGGTGGGCTGCTGCCCCTCACCATGCAGCTGCTGGGACCCACACAGCAGCGCGGGCTGGATGGGCGCCTGCGTGGCCGACACGGCCGTCCTGTACTCGCCGGAGAAGCTGCCGTCTGCTTCCACGTCAAAGATGTGCACCTGGGAGCCCAGGTCGTTCTGCCACTGCCCGGACAGGACGCACTGCGCGGGAGCACACGGGTCAGCACGGGCCACAAGCGGTGCCCGCAGGAGAGGCCACGCTGCCCACCGCCCCAGGCCCCGTGCCCAGCAGGACGAGGCAGGGACCCGCGCCCCCTGTGCAGCCGCCTGAAGCAGGGTGCTCCGTGGCACCGGCTGCGGGACGGCTCTGCTGGAAATATCCGGGTGCCTGGCCCAAGGCAGCGCAGGGAGGCCAGACCAGCGAGGCGCTGCACCCAGGAGGGCAGGGACAGCTGACCTTGCAGGGCCTTGCTGGAGGCTTTGGCCCTGAGCTCCCTTCTCTCTTGGCGGTTGCATCCTTGGCCGGCTCCTGCCCCTCACGGGGGTTTCCATCCTCTTGGCAAAGTGACTTCTAGAAGAGCAGAAGAAAACCTGGCTGCTTCCCTGGGTCAGCAGAAGCCATGAAGCGTGACCCACACCTTTTTTTAATTTTTTATTTTTAAAGAAATCTTTCGTGTTCCCAGCCAAATCAAGTCCAAATCCGTGAGTCAGTCCAGAACCATAAGTGACCCTACAACTGGCAAAAATCCTCCACCCCCCTAGGGCCTTCAGATACTTCCAAAGTCTTTTGGCGGGCATCCTATGCTCAGGCCCAAGGCTGAAGGCTTGGGGTTCAGATGCCCCCAAGTTTTGCCTGCCCTCAGCCATATGGCCATAGGAGCAAGCTAGGGGGGAGCCTCCTATTTCCATAAAGTGGGCTTCAAGCCCTAACCCCTCAGTGGGTACTAAACCACGCCAGAAGAACAGTTATCCCCGGGAATGCTTAAGGAAAACTGCCTTCATGAACCCAGATACATGGTGTTTCCCGACGACCCAGAACCGCCAGGGCAAGCGCCTGGCCCCCGGCCCTGGGTACCACCACCCGCACCTTGCTCCACGATGCCACCCCCAGCGATGCCGGGCTCAGGGCCAGGGCCAGCGGGAGGCGGATTTCCCTCACCATTTCTCCAGCATCTGCAGGTGTCGGACGTGCCAGCTGGTCCTGCTGCAGCAGAGGGGCGGCTCCGTGCTTCCTGCTCGCTCGGGACAGCCGGGCTGCAGGGGAAGGAGCAGTTCCCGCAAGTGAAGTGTCCGATGCGTTGCCCAGCTGCTGCCCACATCCTGGATACCGAGTGCCTGGTGTCAACAGTGACCGTGATAGGGAGAAGGGCAGGGCAGGGCAGGGCCGAGCCAGGGCCAGGGCAACTGTCTGGAGACAGGAGCAGGGTGGTGCCGTCAGCTGGGACAGGCCTGCGTCTGCGTCTGCATCTGGCGGCTCTGTTCACCTGCTGCCCTTCGCCCGCAGGCAGAGGAGGACCCGGCGTGGGGGCATCACCCCCTTTGCTCCCTGCTCCATCCAAACTTAAACACAACTGCCGGGGGCAGCGGCTGAGGAGGTGATGGCGTTCACAGTCCCTGGCCATGGCTCTGCACCCAGCAGGCACTAACGACTCTCCCTCCTTTTCAAAGGGCTTTGTGGTCCATTCATGCAGTTCTTCTCCTTTCTGGGCATGTAGCAGGTGTCGCCGTGTATTTCCTAGCCCTGCCAGCTGCTTCCAGTTCTAGTTGAAAGCCCTGACCCAGGTGTGGTCGTTTTAACTCAGGTGAAGGTGAACTCTGGTGCAGAGATGTATAAGGGTGCTGGGCTGGATGCTCACGAAGGCGAGATTTCGTATGAGAAATCGGAGTAAGAGGAGTGCACTAAATTGGTCTGACGGCAGCAGTCATGACACAACATCCTCTGACTATCTGTCCAGCTGGTTGCGGTTTCTAAACTTAACATATAATCCAGCCCATTTGTTCACATGCCACTAATACTGCATTTCGCTTTGCTTTGATCTTAAACTGGGTAACCTAGTGCTGCAACCCCCCCAAATTGTGTCATGTTGCTGCAGCACATCAGCTAAGAACAAATGGTGTCCAAGAAACTTGATCTCCCGGGACACAGTAGCTACTGTGTCCAAGAAGGCATGCTGTGGATCAAGGGCCTGATGTGGGCATCGTGTACCTGGACTTCAGAAAGGCTTTGGACAGAGTCCCACATGACCTCCTCGTACGTGAACTGGAGAAGTGTAGGTGGGACGCAGGTCCTGTAAGGGGGAGAGACGGCTGGCTCAGTGGCTGCCAGCAAAGGGTAATTCTGACTGGGTCCATGTCAGGATGGTGGGAGGCTTCGAGTGGAGCCCCACAGGGGCTGTCTTGGGCCTGGGGCTGCTCATCCTGTGTATTGATGGTGTGGACGCTGGCACAGAAAGCTTCTGGAGCAAGTTTGTGTAGGGCACAGCACGGCGCGGCACGGGGAAGGGCTGTGAACACGGTGGAGGACAGAAAGCAATGTAGACAGATCTCGACAGATGGGAAACCTGGTCTGGAGCTGACAGGATGGGGTTCAGTGCCCCTGGCGGTGCTTGGAGGCAGAGGCAGAGGCAGGGCCAGGCGGAGCTGCTCAGCACCAAGCAGGTGCGGAGTGGGGCCAGGCAAGAGCAGGGTGCCAGGGGCAGGGCTCAGCACTCCCCAGAGGACAGGATCCAGGACCTGTCTCTCTGGGCTGTAAACACGATGGACGCGGCTGCAGCTGGTTCCCAGCCAGAGCTTCCCCGCACTCTGCCTGCTGCCGGCATCCCGCTGCTAACACCCCGCCCAGACTTGGCTGTTCCCCTGCCTGGGCCGGACCCTGACTCTTGACCTTCCGTGGGTGCGACCCTCACCCTGGCCCCGCTGCAGTACACGTGCCGACGCCAGTGCATTGTCCCCCACGCTGGCAGCCCCACATGTGCCCCCTGCTCCCTGGGCCCCATGCCACCCTTCTGCCTCCCCTCAACTGCTCCTCGCTCACTACGCTGCAGGCACCTGCTGCCTCTGCACCAAGGCCAAGACCAGCGCTGGTCCTGCCCCTTCCCGGCATGGGTCCTCCCGGAGAGCACCCAGGGAGACGCTGACCCGGGGAAAGGGGGCCGGTACAGGGACAGTCACAGGCTGGGGCAGCGTGGCCGCAGCCTGGCCCCTCGCGCACGAGGGAGGAGTGATGAGGCTCCCCCTCCGCGCTGCCAGTGTTGTGGTCCTCGCAGAAGGTGCCCAAGGAGAGACTGGCAGCCGGCCGTAGTTCGAACAAAATCTTGCCTTCCTGAGCATCCAGCCTGGCACCATTATGCATCTCCACACCAGAGTTCACTTTTGCCTGAGTTAAGACAACATTCCTGTGTCAGGGCTTTCAGCTAGGACTGGAAGCAGTCGGCAGTGCTGGGAAACAAGAGGAATTCCAAGAAATGACTAATAAACAACTTCAGAAACAACTTTGTTTCCCTTTCACTTTCACTGTGACACCGGGCACACCATTTTTATCATCACCGCAGCATCTGTGAGAGGCTGCTCATTCCCCCACAACCCAGCTATCCCGAGCGAGTGAGCGAGCGAGCGAACACGAAGGAAGGAGCCACAACTCTGCTGCAGCAGGACCGGCCAGCACATCTAGCACCTGCAGACACTGGAGAAATGATGAGGGAAATTCGCCTCCCGCTGGCCCTGTCCCTGGGCCTGGCATCGCTGGGAGTGGCATCATGGAAGAAGGTGCGGGGTAGTGGTGCCTGGGGCCGGGTGTTTGCTCTGGGGGGTCCAGGTTGCACTTTGCAGCTTCTGCTGACCCAAGGAAACAGCTGGGTTTTCTTTTGCTCTTTTAGAAGTCACTTTGCCAAGAGGGTGAAAAACTCTGTGAGGGGCAGGAGCCGGCCACGGATGCGCCCGCCAGGCGAGAAGGAAGCCCGGTGCCAAAGCTGCTCGCAAGGCCCTGCAAGGTCAGCTGTGCCAGCCTTCTCGCTGCCCCATTGTGCTGGGCACAAACCCTGGGGAGTTGGGCAGGGGGTCCGCTTCTGTGAGTGCTGTGTGCAGCCCGTGCTGACCCGTGTGCTCCCGCGCAGTGCATCCTGTCCGGGCAGTGGCAGAACGACCTGGGCTCCCAGGTGCACATCTTTGACGTGGAAGCAGACGGCAGCTTCTCCGGCGAGTACAGGACGGCCGTGTCGGCCACGCAGGCGCCCATCCAGCCCGCGCTGCTGTGTGGGTCCCAGCAGCTGCATGGTGAGGGGCAGCAGCCCACCTTCGGCTTCACCGTCAACTGGAAGAGCTTCTCAGGTGCGTGCCTGGCAGCCGCGGTGGGCAGCCTCCAGCCCCAGCCCTCCGGCCCCGCCCCTGCCCCTCGTCTGCTCTCTCCTCCCCCTGCCCTCTCCCCTGCACTCAGCCACTGGCTGCCCTTGCAGGAGACCCTCTCCCCTTCCCCGTCGCCTGCCCCTGGGGCACGGGCTCCAGCCCTCTGCCCTGGCCTGGAACAGCAGGAAAGGCCTGGGAACAGCCAGGATGCACCGGGATGGCCCCGCATCACCTGCCCGTCTCCCACCCTCCCCACGATCCGTCCCCATCGCTAGGGCCGGCCGCAGCCCGACCCTTGTCCCGGGCGCACCTGGGGTGACAACAGCGGCCCCTGCGGACGTGCCCGCCAGACAGACGCTAGCTGGCAGCCACGTGCCCGGCCAGCACGGATAGCGTGGATGGGGAGCCAGAGCCCACGGCAGGGCCCACAGCGCTCACCCGCCCACTGCCCACAGACTCGACCACCGTCTTCGTGGGCCAGTGCTTCGTGGACAAGAGCGGGGAGGAATCGCTGCACACCATGTGGCTGCTGAGGGAGGAGGTCAACTCCGGGAAGGACGACTGGAAAGCGACCAGGTGAGCGGGGCAGGCACGGCTCTGGGTCTCTGTGGGGCGTGAAGGGCCGTCCCGGGCATCCCCGTGCCCTGTCCTGCAGGCCGGAGCTGTGTGGGGAGGCGTCAGGTCCTGCTGCTCTCCGGTGCCTTTGCCCGGCCCCCCTTGGGGAGCGCCTGGCCGAGGGCCCCGTGGGTCTGGGGCTGTGGTGTGGTGGGCGCTGCCCCCGTGGTGCATGGCCCTGGGCTGGGCTGCTGGCGCCCTGGGAGGCAGGCCGTCGGCGAGGAGCTTCCCCAGGCAGCGGTCCTCAGTGCCAGGCAGCAGGGGCTGGGGACCCAGGCCTCCCTGGGGGCTACGGTCCTGCGTGTGCCATGCAGCACTGAGCGCATGGCCCCTGCCGGCTCCGTCCTCCTGATGCTGGGGTTCCTCGCAGGACCGGCTGCAACGTCTTCACCCGCATTGCATAAGGAAAGCAGCAGACCCCGGCACTGCACCTTCTGCCCCCACGTGCACGTATCCCAGCCCCCTCCATCCTTGCTTGTACTGGGGGTGCAGACCCACCCCACATGCCGTCCCATCAGCCTGGGCTCTGCACTAGCTCCGTTGCCTGGCTGCCAGCTGTGCTCCAGCCTTGACCATGAGGACCATAAACCAAAGTGAAAGATGCAGCCTGGAGAGGAAGGAGACAAGAAACCATCCTGTGCACACCTGACAGAGACCTTTCCCACATGACTACAAGGAGCAACCTGTGCATGTGGGGAGAAGCCCGGGGCAGCGCTGGGAGCTGGTCCGGCACACGCAGAGCTGCTGCCCCCGCTCCTGCGTCTCTGCAGCTGGCACCGGGGAGCAGCTGCTCTGTGCTGCTGGGGGCCCGGTGGGTGCTGAGATACATGCACGTGTTGTTGTTCAGGGGGAGTAATAAAAGACAAGCCTGCCAACCTGTCTCATGTCTCTTTTCTGACCCACCATGCATCTGTGCCCTGCCTGCCATGCTCTGCTGGACCCAGGGGTCCTGCTGCTGTGGCCGCATCTCCTGCCCCCTTTATGGCCTGGGCCCCATTTGCCTGGCTGCCCGTTCCCGAGGGTGCAGGGATGCAGGACGGGACTGCGTGGCTGGCAATGTAATTGTATGTGGGTCTTTGTAATGCTATCAATGTGCTGCTTGTGTTACTTGTGTTTCTATACGGAGCTGTATCTCTCCCTTCTGCAAGTCCTCACCCAAAATGGAGCTATCTTTCAGGACTCAGTTTCAATGGGGCTGGGTTCCTCCTGGCATGAAATCAGTCAAATACACACACATACATTAATGTGACATGCCTGACCCGGCCGGGTTGATTAGCATGGACAGGCTGAAACCCTCATGTGCCAGGAATCAGTTAATTAAGGTAACAATAAAATGCAGTCGGACACACACTCACAGGTGAACAGAAGACCTCTGAATCCAGCTGGGTGTCCAGCTGACACCCTCATGGGCCAGCATTCAGGTCATTAGGGCACATCTGAGCCAAACGGGGTCAATCAGCCTGTACAAGCTGATCCCCTTATGTCTCAAACTCAGCATGTCCCAATGTTTTGCCCTAACTGTCCTAGTAGTGGTAGCCTCTTGATGAGTGGATCCCACAGTACTTTTGCGATTCTCAGGGATCTTTGGCTTAGGTAAAAGAAGCGTTGCTGCAGAGCAAGTGGGGAAGGGGAAGTAGAGAAGGAAAAATTCACCTGGTTACCACCAGTTTGAGTATAAAAATTATTTATTGCTAAGTCTATGGAATTTATGATGGTACTAGTAGTAATAACCATGCAAGGGAAAGCAAACAAAAACAATTACAATATTACCCTGATTTAATTGAGTATTTGGGGAAACCTAGCTCAAGCTTAACTAATAAAATTCAGGTTCAGCAAGCTGTGCCTAGAGAGAAAAAGAAAAAGAGAGCGCAAGAGCTGGGATCTCCCCGTTCCAAGGTACGTGGGTGTTTTGTTGACAGGCAAAGCTCCCAGCACAATCGTTGAAGGTTTAGCAGGCGATGGGAAGATATGATCTGTTTCTCCCAGATTCTCGAGAACAACAGCGGTGGTGTCAGAGAGATTTCTCTCTTGAAGCACACTGTGTGCTGCTTTACAGCTTTCTTATACTCTTAGCCCAGCCTCTTCAAAGCATTCTTTTAATTGTGTAAATCAAGGGGGTCTCAAGCCATAATTGACAGGGAAAATCCTGTTATATAAACAGTTTCAATTTAAATGAATTATCTTTTTCAGTGACAAGGGGTTATCTGGTTTGGAACATCTTAAGAAGCTGATTAACAACCAGGAAAAACATCAAGACACCTAGGAGCCAGCTTGAAATTATTATGAATATAGAAGATATATTGGAAGGGATACCACATTGTTTCTTCTCAGATGGCCTAGCTATGCTTGCACTGTGAAGTCAGCATCAGTGTTTTGTATTTTACCTGTCAGCTCAGCGTGACTTTCAGATCTTACTGTAGTCTTTTAACAGACTTAAGGGGATTGATTACTCGGAGTGTCCATAAACGTTGTGGGGAGGACTTCCACCAGTCATCCCGGGAAAAGTATGACAGCATTTGTGGTCAGGCCTCCCACGGGCTGGATGTTGTGATGAGCCCCTAACCATTGTTCAAATGTCGGCCATACCCCCTCTGACTCGATCTCTTGCCTCAGCATTCCCTAACCCGGCAACCGAGTTTTAGTCAATCAAGTTTAAATAGGCCTCCCATAGTGGGGCCGGGGAATGTACGGCCTGAGATACCTATTCAACTTTTCTTGTGCTTAGTTCTGGGTAGATCAGGTGTGTGTGTGCATGGGGGCGGGGAGGAGAATAGAAAAAGTCCTTTGTAAGTCCAGCAAGCTGGGTGCCAGGGCTCCCTCAGGAGCACAGAGCTGACTGGTAACAGCCTGCAGAGACTCACCATCCCTCAAGCAGCTCCAGCTCCCAGCAATGATGCAGAGCATTGGCTTCATCCTGGTCCTGGCCCTGGCCCTGGCCATGGGGACCCTCAGCATCCCTTTAAATGACAAGGTACTCAGCAGGCAGGTGCAGTGCTGGTGGAAGCAGGGGTTTCATGCTTCCTCTGCACTGTCTTGAGATGCTGCGGCATGCACTGTTGGGAGATCCTAGAGGTTGGAGCCCACAGCAGAGGGTGGCGGGGCTCGGCAGGGCTGTGAGTGGGGAGGGGAGGGGGCTGGGACCTGCCCCTCTGCAGGGTCTCTGCTCTAGCACATGTCAGGATCTGTGCCCCGGAGACCTGGGCTGAGCTGCTGACTGCCCGGGCAGGGACACTGTCACCCCGACGGGCAGGAGCAGCGATGGCTCTAGGGTGTGTGAACTCAGCATGAAGGACTCCCAACAGGTAGGCTAGGATGCTCCGTGGCTGTGACTGTGGCAAGGTCTGGGCACCACAAGCGAGGTCAGGGCACCACAGACAGCTCGGGCACAAGCCTAGAGTGTTTCAGCAGCGTGTGGGGCCATGCGATGGGCCTGGCAATGAACTGACCATCTAGGAGGTCTGGTGGGATGTGCTGGACCCAGGTTTGCAAAGGGGTACGCTGCCCAAACCAGTGCACTGGCAGATTCTTCAGCCCCCCAGCCCTTCCCTACCCATTGAGAGCTCCCCAGATCTCAGGACCAGCCGGGCAGAGGCTCCATCAGAGCAATGTCCCTAGCACAACACCTGGGTATTGACCGCCTCAGCAGCTCCATGGTTGTGGAGGCGACTGCACAGATTTGGGGCTGTCTGAAACGGGACAGACCCAGGGAATGGGTCATGCCAGAAGGCACTTCCCTGCACAGCTCAGGACCCCCGTCCTCTGTCTCCTGGTTTCTGGGTTGGTCCCCAGGGCTGGGGGCTCTGGGGCGATGCCCTCGCTCAGGAGTTGGACCCTCTGCTGACCGCAGCCCTCCTCCGCAGTGCTCCCTGCTCGGGCGGTGGCAGAACGACCTGGACTCTGAAATGAACGTCTTAGCTGTAAACAACGTTGGGAAAATCTTCGGCACGTACCTCACCCAAGTCTCCAGCGCAGACAAGCTGATCAGTGTGTCCCCCCTGAGGGGCAGCCAGCAGATAGGAAACTTGGAGCAGCCAACGTTCGGGCTCACCGTCACCTGGTCGTTCACCAGTACATGGCCCGATGTGCAGTGGGGTGGGAAGGCCGGGGCAGCCCCATGCCAGTGCAAAGGTTTCTATCCATCCACCTGCCCTGGGCAGTACCCAGCTCCTGCCTCCACTTCCCCTCTGCCTGGGCCACCCCTTTTGGCTCCTCTTCCTCATCCTGGAGGGCTCTCTCAGCCACCCCATACCTGGCACCAGCTCCAGGCCCAGCGGTGCATCCAGCAGTCCCCTCCCTGCCCAGGGCCCTTGCCTGCCCCTCCGCAGCCTGGCTCTTTGTGCTGTGCCACAGATGCTGGCCTGGCAAGACCCCTGGGCAGATATTAGCCAGCAGCCACATACCCAGCTGGCACGGCCAGCATGGAGGGGGAGCTAGAGCCTACACAGAGCACTCACTTGACCAGCACCCACAATCTTGACCACCGTCTTCGTGGGCCAGTGCTTTGTGGACGAGAACGGGAAGGAGGTGCTGCAGACCATGCGGCTGCTGCGGAAGAAGGTTGGCTCCAGCCAGGACAACTGGAACGCGACCCTGTGAGCAGCAGGGCCCTCCCCTGGCAGGGATCCCGGGGGCCACGGCTTGCGGGCAGGGGCAGTGGGGGCTGGGAAGGGCCCTCGGCCAGAGTAGATGGATGTGGTGCTGCCGTGGTCCCCTCCTGACCCTACCCTGAGCTGCGTGGGCAGGAGCACAAGCAGGAGATGGGGAAGGAGCCTGGCAGAGCCCCTGGGCTCACAGTCCCTGACAGCACTCGCAGCCAGAACCAGGAGCAACTCCCGCACGGCCTGGGCTGCACTGCCGGAGCCAGGCTGCTGTGCTCGGTGCTGCTTCAGCAGCTCCATGTCTGCTCCGCTGGGCCCTGGGGGCGGGGGGCACAGGGCAGGGGAGCCACCCCTCACCAGGGCAGCCCCTCCACACTACAGCTTCTCCCCACTGCACTCCTGGCACCAGCAGCTGCTCCCTGTGCAACCGCAGGTGTCCCGCCTGCCCCACGGCAGCTGCCTGGTGCTTCTGTGTGGAGGGGCCTGCTGAGCCACGGCACACGGGCACCTGCAGCAGATTGGATGTGGGCAGGGGCAGGGCGGGGTGGCTACCCCATAGCCCTGGCTGCCTGCCCGAGTTTATGCCCCCGCCCAGGAAATTGCAGCAACTCTGTGACTTTGCTTCCCCGCAGGATCGGCACCAACCTCTTCACCTAGGTCTGGCCATAGGGAGTGGGAGCGTCCCATGGACCCTGGCTGCGCCACCTCACTTCATGCACGTGGCAGCTCCAGGGCTCCAGTGCCCCCTGCGGCGCTGCTCCAGGCCTCTCTCAGCAGCATCTCTCTTTGCCAGGGCTGTCATCCTTCTCCCTTTCCCCCTCGTGGGCTCATCTCTGCAGCCCAGCTCCACATGCCCCTGCCCCTGCCCCACCCGCTCCCACTCTCAATCCATGTGGAGATGGCACTTGGTGCCAGCCATCTCTGCCCACCTGTCGTGGAAACACACGCAGCATACTTTTGGGTCAGGTCAGCAGAAGCTTTTATTCAAAAGAAACTACAGCTGTAGGGGGGATTCCAAAGTGACATGGATTTCCCAAGCACTTGGAAGGGGTCCCCCCCACAAGAGCAAAATCAGGAGGCTTATATACTTTTTAACAGTTGCTTACAACTCACGTGATCATATAGTGAAATTAGCATGAAAAGCGGCTGTAATATTACTTCACTACTACTTTGCTGTAATCAGGATGGGAACTAATGGGGGAGGCGAGGTTAGTTCACAAACCTCCTTCTTGCACCTGCAAATCAGAGTTGTACATACTTTTTTGCTATCTTCAAGGCCGCGGTGAGCGAAGCAGTTGCAGAGGAGTTACAAAGAACAAACACTTTCTCTTATCTGTTCTACTATACAGAGCCAGCAATTCTCCACAAAGCGGTTATGTCATCTTATAACTAAAATAATCAAAGTTTAAGGCATATATATTTTCTGATTCCACACACCTCCAGCACTCTCAACTCAGAGCCCAGGCAGGCATTGACCTGTGTGACCACTTGGGCCTGGATGCCAAATAAACCTTTTCTACTAAAAAACTCCCCTGGTTATGTGCCTGTTAGTCCCCCCTGCTGCCCACCCTCCACTGCTCGCTCTCCAGGGTGGCGGCGTGCCCATTTCACACGGGGTTGGAGTCATTTGTAAATTCACCCCAGATGTCAGACACATTTGCAGCAGAGTGCTATTCATTAGCAGAACAACCTCCCTAGGAACCAGGAACGAGTTGTTTTCGGTAAGAGGCTTGGTGGACCTGCAGGTTGTGCTTTAGGGAGACATGAAGTCCGGGGCTCGGTAGGACCGGAGAACCAACTCCAAGTGATGTCCTTCCTGGGGGATGGGATCAAGGACCTGTCTCTCTGGACTGTAAACACTGTGGACGCGGCCGCAGCTGGTTTCCACCCAAAGCTTTCCCGCACTCCACCTGCTGCCAGCATCCCACTTTCACCACCCCGTCCAGAGCTGGCTGTTCCCCTGCCTGGGCCAGGCCCTGACCCTTGACCTCCAGTGGGTGCAATCCCCTTCCCGGGCCCGCTGCGGTATCCGTGCTGCAGTCAGGTCATTGTCCCCCGTGCTGGCAGCCCCACGTGTGCCCCCTGCTCCCTGGGCCCCACGCCGCCTTTCTGTCTCCCTTCAGTTGCCCCTGGGGCAGTCCCCTAATCAGGGCCCATCTCAGCCACCTGAACCCACCTCTCACACCTGCCAGCCAGCCCAGGGCTGACCCTGCCCTCAGATGCCCCAGCAGTGGCTTCCAGCCGCCCCACACTCCCATGCCACCGTGGGCCTTTGCCACCTGACTCCAGCCTTCAGTGCTGGCAGGAAGAGCCTGTCCTGCCCCACACTGGTTGCAGCAGCCTGCCACAGACGGCCCCTCTGCCCAGCAGCTCTGCCAGCCCCTCTCTCACAAGCAGGTCCTAGGACCAGAACTGCTCCTGCCTGTCGCTCATTGGCTGGATGAGGGGCCATATGGAGAGGAGGAGCCACCTTTGTTCCCGCTGTCACCACAAGGCCTCTGCGGGAAGCCCTTCGGGGACAGACTGGGACTGCTCCGATGCCTGCGGAAAATGCTTGTGAGGAAATGATGAGGATTGCCTCTATGAGCCCCACATGGGAGAGGCTGTGTCATGGGAAGCGGGTCTCAGAAGGCGGTGCAAGGCTCCACCATGTCCGGGCCGTGGCAGAGGCCGCCCAGCAGTGCACTGCCTGGCCTGGTGTGTAAGGAAAGGGACATGTCACTGAGCACTGTGGGAGAAGCCCTCGGGGCTGTTGCTCTCTGGGCTCTCGGTCAATGCCCCAGAAGGGGGTTAAGTGAAAGAGAACAGCCATGAGGATGCCCCTGGCGAGGCACGGGGCATGGTGCAGTGGATGAATGTAGCCATGCAATTAGCCCATAAGGCAAAGACCACGTGCATCTGGTGGTCACTTAGGAAGAACAATTCAGGAAGCCCTGGGGCAGAACCTGCTGCCCCCACAGCAAGGCCAGGGACAGGGACAGGAGCGCCTTGGAACAGCAGAGTGGGCAGGTGAGCACGGAGCTGGGGGCAGAGGCCCTATGGGCACTGTCGGCCTGGGGAGGGTCCTTTCCCTGGGGGGCTTGGGCTGAAGCAGCTTTCAGCTGTGCTGCTGGCCCACCCGTGCTGTGAGGCTTGGAGGCCCGTGCATGGGGGTCTGGGGGCAGGGTCTTCTCTGGGTGGGGTGGGCTGGGCGCAGTCTGAGGGTGGCATCTGTGAGTAGGGATGGGCCCTGGGCAAAGGTGTCTGTGGTGGGGCAGCTGAGGGAGAGCAAGGTGGGAGTGGGGGCAGGCTCACGGGTGTGGAGGCTGCTCTGGGAGAGGGTGCGCGAGGGGCAGAGCTAAGTGTGGGCGGGGCCTGGGCCGGGCTTTGGGCTGCTCTGTGTTGGCCCAGCCAGGGAGGCGAGGGCCGAGCCTGCCCTGGTTTGTTTGATGCCTCTTAGCTGGGCTGCAGCTGGGAGAGATGCTGGATGCTCCCTGGCGCTGAGCGCCCTGCTGCAGGGAGCGCTGGCACGTGTGCAGATGTGGATGCAGCCCCCAGGCTGTGTGCCAGGAGGCCTCCAGGAAGGGGACTGAGAATGAGCTGGGGCCATGCCCCTTGTGTCTATGGCTACAGACACGAGACCCCATCAGTCCTGCTCCACCAGGTGCTGCAGGCCTCACTCCCACCGGCTCCCCTGCACCCAGCCCAGCACCATGTGCCTGCCTGCGCCACAGCCAGCGACACCCCACGGCATCATCCAGAAGTGACCCATGTGCCTGGGACACTTCACATTCAACAAGGTTTATTTGGTGCCTGGGTGACTCCTGCCTGAGAGGAGCCTCCAGGCGAGAGTGCTGGAGGCAGGGAACTCCTGGGCCCACAGGGGCTGGGCGGGGAGCCGTGTCCCTGTATTCGTAGCTTGGACTGGGGCAGTCTCTGCTGCTGAGAGTTGGAGAAGGAGCGTGGCCCCAGGGAGGGTGCCCTGAGGATTTGAGGGAGTGACAGAGAAGGATGATGCTAAGCGCTGCTGAGCACTGGGGAAGGAGTGCTGCCCTGGGGAGGGTCCCCGGAGGAGGATCTGGGGGAGCAACAGAGAAGGACAATGCTGCCAGCTGCAGCACAGCACCCAGGTCTGACTGGCCTACAACCGTTGCATGCAGGGACTGGAGCCCTGCAGCTGGCACAGCTCCTGGCACAACTGGGGGGACTGGGAAGGGGGGTTACAGGACCCTGCTGGCCCTTCCAGGCCTCTGGATCTGACGTAGGCTGTTCCTCTTACTGGAAGTCCACGGAGGGGTCACTCACGGTTGCTGTCACTTTGTGTATGACTATGCTTGGCCGGTAACTTGTTTGTCAGAAACAGTTGCCAGGATGGAGAGGGAAAGGAAAAAGGGCCTGTTGCCAGGTGTGAGATATCCCTGGCCAGGGTCAAGCTCAGTAACACATGCCTGGGGCTTTTGTATTAAGGATCAGGAAGGGGAGTGCATTTCGCTGCTCTGACTGGAACAATCATGACACAATGTTATCTTTGCCCAGCTGGCCGCACTTCCTAAATGTAACATACAATCCAGCCCGCTCCCGCATGTGCCACTAACGCTGCATTTTGTTTTGCTTTGATCTTAAGCTTGGTAATGTAGCCCTGGGCCCCAGCATGTCAGCGCCCATTGCTTCTCTTTACCGGGAGAAAACGGTGTGCTGCGTTGCTGCACCAGGCCCCTGCACCCCTCTTCAGAGCTCTAGACCCCTGCTGCGGACGCCATCCGGGGTGGAAGCAAGGAGCACGTGTGCTAATGCCTGTGCCAGACCACAAGCATCGCCCAGACAGGCTTTGTGGTGAGGGAGAGCTTGCGTGGGACGAGCTTTTGGGCACGTGGCCTTCCTTGGGCTTGGGGAAGCAGCAGGTGAAGCCACAGCCGAAGGCCAGGCCAAACCGCAGGCATGGAAAGCCGTTGTCGGGCGGGTTTGGGAACCGTGCGAGAAGTGCAGGGTTTGGGTGACATCTGTGATAGGATCCGCAGATGTTCGTAGTGGCTCGTCCTAGAACCTGAACACGTTGCCGGCAGCATTCGTCACAGCTGGAGGAAGCGGGAGCACCAGGCCTTCACTGTGCCCCACCACAAGCTGCGAGGGTGCGGGGAGGGCAGTGGTCGCTCCCGGGCAAGGGGAGCTCCTGGCTTGGCTGCACCCTGCTGCCGCGTGCGGCGGGGGCGGGAGGCACGGGGTGCAGGGGCCCTGGGCCTATCCGTGCCCCTCGCAGGTTTTCCCCATGTGTTCTTGGCCCCAATACTGTTCTTGACCTGAAACTCCCCCTCAGCTTCCCCGGGCCTTTCCACACCCGAGCACCCTGGCCCAGCTCCAGGGTACAGGCCGTCCTGCGTGGGGGGAGGGCCAGGGCACCAACCACTGCCCCTGCCCCCCCCAGGGGCTCTTGTCTGGATGAGGGACCTGGAGCAGCTTGCCCTGCCCTGGGGTGCAGGGGGGCACCACAGCCCCCGAGGGGGCACCCGCA